GTTTGGTTTGAGTTTGGTTTGAGTTTGGTTTGAGTTTGGTTCGAGTTTGGTTTGGGTTTGGTTTGGGTTTGGTTTGAGTTTCGTTTGAGTTTGGTTTGAGTTTGGTTTGAGTTTGGTTTGGGTTTGGTTTGAGTTTGGTTCGAGTTTGGGTTTGGGTCTGGTTTGGGTTTTGTTTGGGTTTGGTTTGCGTTTGGTTTGCGTTTGGTTTGCGTTTGGTTTGCGTTTGGTTTGAGTTTGGTTCGCGTTTGCTTTCGGTCTGGTTTGGAAGGGCTTGGATCAAAAAGAGACAAGAAGAAAGGGCAACCCTATTGAGCTTCTGGCAGCTTCTTAGTGTCTTTTTAATTGGAAGGCAGCTCCATGCGACTTTTGCCAGTGCTGAGTAGAAAAAAGGCAACAACCTAGCAAGTTCCTGACACCTTTTCCATTCAAAAGCCAGCACCTTGCAGAATTTTTTATGCGTGGCGATTAGAAAAAAATACAAAACTTGACGACTTTACATCTTTCTTGTCCTCTTCTCCAAAATAAAAAAAATCTCGGCGAAATGGATCGCCGCTAATGCGATTTTTTTCGCTCTGCTGTCACTTTCAGCCAAAAAAAAAGAGCGGCGGCTGCTTTTGCCAGTTTTTTTTTTCCTTGGTGGCTGCAGTAGCTGGCCAATTTGAGAAAGGTGAAGCTTTTGCCAATTTCTACAAGCATATGCTTGCACTTTCTGAAGCTCAAACCATTCGCAGCTTGTGTCTCTATGGTTCTAGAAATTGCAAAAATGTCAATAATTCAAAAAAATTAAAAAGGTGGGAAATAAACAAAACCACGAATGCGCGCGCGGTTTCTGGTCGTGCTAGAAGCTTAAGCGCCGCGCTGCGGCTGACTCGTTTTCTAGTCAGGGCCGGGAAAAGGTCCCAGGCTGCTGGTTTCAAGCTGAAAAGTGGCGAGGAAGTTGCTAAGTTGTTGGCTTTTTTTGGCAGCACTGAAAAATCCTGAAGCTGCTGTCTTCAACGTGAAAAGTGGCCGAAAAGTTGCCCAATTGTCTTCAGCTTTTTCTAGGCAGCACTCCAGGAAATCCCTTGGCTGTCGGTTTCAAGTTGGGAAATGGCTCAGAAGTTGCCAAATCGTGCAAGAATTTCCCCAGTCACCACCAGGAAAAACCCGAGCCCGGAGGCGTCGGGTTGGAAATGGTCCAGAAGTTGCCAAACTGTGCCCACTTTGTCCAACTCACCACCATGGAAAAAACCCCAAGACCAAAAGGACCAGGCTGGAAGGTGTTCAAAAGTCCGGCGCTTTTCGGTGGCCTTCAGCAACCCAATGAACCAAACCCAAGCCAAAGAAACGCAGCAAGACGACCCAAACCCGCGACCAAACTGAGACCAAACGCAGAACAAACTTCAACAGGCCCCGGCCTAAACCCCAACCAAACTCAAACCAGACCCCAACCAAACTCAAACCAGACCCAAACCAAACTCAAACCAGACCCCAACCAAACTCAAACCAGACCCCAACCAGACCCCAACCAAACCCAAACCAAACCCAAACCCCCAAACCAAACCCCCAAACCAAACTCAAACCAAACCCAAACCAAACTCAAACCAAACTCAGACTCAGACTCAAACTCAAACCAAACTCCAACCAAACTCCAACCAAACTCCAACCAAACTCCAACCAAACTCAAACCAAACCCAAACCAAACCCAAACCAAACCCAAACCAAACCCAAACCAAACCCAAGCCGAACCGGGAACAAACCCGAACCAAGCCCAAGCCGAACCCTGATTCGGGCCAAGCTTAGACTTGGGCCGAACTCACTCCAACCAAACCCAGCCAAAACGTAGACCAAACCCACGCCGGGCCCAGCTCGCCAGGCCTCGGCCCAGGCGCTTGCCTAAACCAAACCCAAACGCAAACCGACCAAACCCGACGGAAGCCCCCCCCGACCTCAAACCAAACAGACGCGCCCAGAGCACGCTCGAAACCCGGGCCAGGCCTGCCGCTTGCGCTGGGTCTGAGGCCCAAACCGTGCAGGCCTCGACGCGCTGCGCGTGCGTCTCCTCGGTCCTTCTCTCCTCTTTTTCTTGGGTTTTCTGAGCCGCAGGAAGCCCGCGGCCAGCAGCCACCGCAGCGCGCCCTCGAATCCCGAGGAGCGACAACGAAGCGGGGAGAAGAACAAGAGAGAAAGGGGGGGACTTTGGCGGGGCATGGTATTGCAATGGGTGCTGCGGCTTTGGCTGCGCGTGGTCCTTCAGTGCTGACCCGGTCAACGCGGTCCCGCATGTGTTGCCTTTGTCTTCTCTTCAGTTTCCCACTCGTTTTCCTCTCTTCCAGGAGATTCGAGGGCGCGCTGCGGTGGCTGGTGGCGGGCTGCACTACGTGCGCAGTGTGTCCGCCTCGGTCTTCTTCGTGCTTGGTTCGCTCCCGAGATTCGAGGGCGCTGCGCGGTGGCTGGCGGTGGGTTATGAGGCGAGTGCAGTGCGCATCCCGTCTTTGTCTTTCAGAAGGCTCCAGCGGGGCTCTAGACTGCTTCAAGACCAGGAGCCCGCCCGGAATCGGCGAGCTCTGGCGACTAGAATCCACACGCGGCCGGGGTCGGTTTTGATTTCGTTCACCCGGGGAGGCGGGTCTCTCTCCTCAACGAAATGAAGCCGCTGAGGGTCTTGCCGGGGAGGGGTCGAAATTGCCCAAATTTGACCCATCTGAGGCGTGTCCGTCTGTCATTTTGGAGACACTTCGAGACGGCTCCAAACTTCCGCCAGAATAGAGAGAAAACCAGGACGGGCGCGGGACTGCTTCGGGACCGCGGGCCCCTCTGGAGTCGCCCCGACACATTTGCGGCAGCCCGGTCGAGGCCCATGGGTGAGCCCTCTCCAAGCTCCTCGGAAAGCCCGGGAGGCCGGGGCAGAGCCGCCCCGCAAAGCCTCCAGCAGGTTCGCAAGAGGCCGCCGCCGAAGCCTTGCGCGGGGCTACATTCTTAAACGCCGGGCGGGGGTATTGCGGGCTGGCTGCTGGGGGGCTCTGCGCTGCGCGTTTGCGTCTGTTGTCGACTCATCGCGGGCCGGCTG